CGACGCAGTTTATCACTCCAGACACAGGTAAACACACAAGATCACAACACTTGAGAAGAAGACGACTCGATCGCTGGGATGGCATTGTGACATGGCGATCGTGAACCGCCATTAGGTAATTTCTCTTGCCACCGCTGCCTTGTGGTTAGGCTATTGAGCCAAAGCGCTAGAGGAGACAACCTCGAACAAACAATCCGAGCGGCTGTTGGGTACTTGTCCGTACTTAATGAAAATCTACGTGCCGTAACTGCACAAAGATCCATGTTACGGCCCCCACGGGAACCGACGCGCTCCGCAACCCTGGTCCAGTGGTGCGGGCAAATAGTATGCGAGCTGGATTATTCAATCGGAGTCGGATACTTACATTGGACGCTGGAATTTGCAAACGCTTCTGGCCCCTGGTACCCAAAGCCTGATGGCACGCCGCCTTTATCAGTACAACGTAGATGGCTGCTGCCTGTCCGAAGTTCGACCTTCTGACTAAGGCATTCGGTAAATGAAGATCTCCGTGGCTAACAAATACTTCAATTTATGTCACAATGTCTTACGTCCCTCCTCCGATACAGATGTGATGGCAATTGCCCTCTCGCAACAAAGGAAGCATGTACTACTTGGCGGGGGACAGATTCCTCACGTGCGCTTAAAGGGTCGATTCACAGACATCTCTGTCCTCCCCGTTTACGCACCACTCGAGGAATGTTTCCCATTGCCAGATCGTTGAAATTCCTTCATATGACATATAAGAATATCTTTGATAATAGGGTAAGCGTCAGTTTGAACTTGTTGACGAATAAAGTCATTTTTAAATTGATCGAGTTAGGACGTGGGAATAGGAACCCTTGTGAGTTAAATTCCAGCTCATGCCCCAACCTGAAGTCCATAATCACTTTAATGTTAAATTTAGCTTTAGACCGCCTGGAATCTAGTGAGAAGTCAGCTGTATCACGAGGCCCTACTCCCATTTCCAACAAGGATCCATTCAGCAACTGTTTTCCGAAAGTGCCTTTTAGTAGGTCCCAGTCTAATCAATATCTCCTCCCGTGCAGGCAGCGTTCGGAGCGAACTAAACAATGTCTTATCTTTTTGTAATCCCTGTAGATGCATGGTCGAGACGTTGATAATCTGTTAAATTTATGGTAAGTCAGGCTGCCTTGATCAAATTTTACAGCGCGCTATTAGTTGTAAGCCATCCGAAGTCTTTCACACGGTTCACCGCCCATCAGGTCTGTGTGGATTAGAGTAAGCAATTTGGATGCGGTTGAAAAAAAAACTACCCGCCAACAAACGATACGACGGCAGCAATCGCACAAAGCTTGAACCTAAAAAGCATAGCAGGGGACAGCGTGTTTGATCAGCAGTTGTTCAATTCGTACTGAATATTGGACGCACCGCCTTGGTCTATCCCGTCGAAACGAAAACCGCAGGCACGAAGTAAATGTAAAGTGAAAGCACCCTCCCCGAATACCATGTCTCAAGCCTCAATCCTTCGGCCTTTGAGATGCCTCGTCTTACGATGGTCATCTTTTGAATATCGGAGGTGTGGCCAGTCTCTCCAATATGAGTTGCAAGCTGCGGGTTTGGGTCTAGTCTCCAAGCCGCCAGTTTGAAAAAAGAAAGCAGGCCCAGCTCTCCGATACGTTAGCAAAAACAAAAACCCGTTCGCGTGAGCATTATCATGTTTTCGGATACCTATTCACGGTCCAGTTAACCAAATAAAAAAATTTTAACAACTTCCAGTCCGTTTGCGAATAAAAGGAAAATAAACATCCCAAGTCAGGGTCTGGTCGAGCAAACGTCGAAGAACTTGCTAATATTTCCTGTTGTCAAGACTATTCCACTTTCGCATCAGTAAAGTAATCGAGTTACCTCTTGATAGCTTCGGTTTCTACAACTCAAACCTCGACAATCTTTTTATGTGACTGTATGCGATAAAAGTGCAAACCCCTAATACACCTTCTATTTATTGAAGGAAACATATTTTAAACTACAATGTCTACATGAGGGATAATTAATTAAAGTGCGCAGCTGGCAAGTGTACCGTTTTCATCTCACGGCTGCCTATTTATACCTAATGCGGGGTACAGCTCGTTAACTATTCACGTTTTATATGCGAAGGCACATGCCGTACGCAAGTTTATTATTGTCTTTTGACCATATTCGGATGAACATCTAATCTTCATGTAATTATAACGATTGGTATTTACCTTCTAGTCGTTTTTAATTCGTTCCTCCTTTCCTATTTTTATATGATATTGTAAAGGACCATCGTAACCGATATAAGGTACTGGTTCTGAAACACGAATTCGCAAAAAATTAAATAGAGTACTCAGGTTGACAAGGGGTTGAAACAGACGAAACACGTGTCTAAAGCTTTTCCTAGTACCGGTACCGCAAATTTTAAAAATCGCTTTTGTAAAGCCTTACAAGCTTTTCTAATTAGACACTCACCGAAGCCACTTGTTTTTATAATGCACTAATATCGAGAAAACGAGCACACAATAGAGAAATTCACACGTCAGTCAGCGTGGTCCATGGGATACGTGGTAGGCATTATTGCTTGTAACGGTCGAATTGTCAAATTAGTTACAATTCCCAAAACAATAAGCACCCATCACACAGGATGTTGGTGCAAGCAGTGGTACCTGCGACCGTATTCTGGCTCATAGGATCCGGTCAACTGGGGAAAGTCTTCAACACGCACGAATTGGAGTACCAGCCATTGCTCGTGTTCTGCTCACATCGTGCAGAACTCGCGAAATCATTGCACGGCACGTCGGATCAACACGAACTTGTACATCTTGCGGTGCATTTGCAAGCTTGCGGTTCGACGTATTATGTAAGGCAATTCTACCTCCTTGACCTAACCATCAGCGAGATTTCGGATATTATGCTCATTCAACCCGCTCTTGCACAGAGAAAGGTTGCCAGCGCAGACCACCTCCTTGTG